CTTACAACATGAAGCTATTGTCTTACTCACAAGTGATGACAATAGACAACTCGTTAGCCAGGGTGTGTTATCTTGATTTAAAACCATGTTCTTTTCAAAGATACGAGTCAAAAGAGAGAATTGCAAATCAAATCTTGAAGGAGGAATTGGAATTGGAATCAAAAAGCATACCAAAAAATTATCATGAATCATTTAGAGTGTGATATATATTGAGATAGGGAAGAAAATAAAGAGACTGTACTTTCATCCCTTCAACCCTTACATCAGGGATGAAAGTATAGTCTCTTTGTTTTTTCCCCTATCTATATATAGAAGAGTTGTTTGGGCTACTCACACCCCAGGGCCCCCCCCCCCCTCCCTCACCCCACCTCACCTTTGTTCCTGCTCCATTTCCCCTTTTTGATACTGAACTGAATACTGTACTTAAAATTTCACATGGTATGTTTTTTCAGCTGAATGCCAGAGGTCTCTGTGTAGGCCATGAACCTGACTCGCTGGAGTTTAGTTCTCTGGGTGGTTGGGTCGCCACACGTGCATCAGGTATGAAGAAGAACATCTATGGTAATATTGAAGACATTCTAGTGCGTGTGCGCATGGTGACAGCAAGAGGAACCGTTGAAAAAAGCTGTCAAGTTCCCCGGATGTCTACTGGCCCGGATATCCACCATTTCATCATGGGCTCGGAGGGAACGCTGGGCGTGATAACTGAGGTTAGTTTGCGGATCCGTCCGTTACCTGAGTGTAAAGTCTATGGCTCTATTGTGTTTCCCACGTTCGATATTGGGGTGGCTTGCGTGAGAGAGATTGCCAAACAGCGCTGTGCTCCAGCTTCGATTCGCTTAATGGATAACGAACAGTTCGTGTTTGGACAAGCTCTGAAATCTGAAAGTGGATCGTATTTCAAGTCTTTTATCGATGGCTTCAAAGCTGTCTACCTGACCAAGTTTAAAGGCTTCGACCCACATCAGCTAGCGGTAGCTACACTTCTTTTTGAGGGAGACAAACAAACTGTCGCCACCCAACAGAGGAAAATTTACGAAATCGCTTCCCAGTTTCGTGGGATTCCAGGGGGCGAAGAAAACGGCCAGAGAGGATACATGTTGACCTTTGTGATCGCCTACCTAAGGGATCTTGGGTTTGATCATCACTTCCTTGCCGAGTCATTCGAAACATCTGTGCCCTGGGACAGAGTCACAGACCTGTGTCGCAACGTGAAAGAAGCGCTGAAACGGAAGTGTGCAAACCTTGGAATCAAGTACCCACCCTTAGCCACCTGCAGAGTGACGCAGACATACGATGCCGGCGCATGCGTTTATTTCTACTTTGGCTTCAATTACCGCGGGCTACCCAACCCATTAGAGATGTACGACGCGGTGGAGAGTGCTGCCCGCGATGAAGTTCTCGCCAATGGTGGTAGCTTGTCTCATCATCATGGAGTGGGCAAACTCAGAAAGAAGTGGCTTCGTCAAACCGTCTCTGATGTAGGTATTGAAATGTTAAGAGGCATCAAGCAGGCAGTGGATCCTCAGAATATTTTTGGAAATGGAAACCTGTTATGATTTCACAATAGGTTATGAAAAATTATTCTATTCAATAGTAGAGAGTGTACTGATTTCGAGGATGAGTAGCGTCTGAAGTTAAAACTCTGAGTAAACTTTCGCCGTAATAATCAACAAAGTTTTTTTTTTTTTTAACCCAGACGGAGAGTTTGAAAGAAGGTTAAGCATATCAGTTGAAATATCAGTACCTTGTCGTGGGGTTCACTGCTGATCTAACATGGGATATTTACTGGGCTGGAAGTAAGTTTCCAATCACTACAGTTGTGAAATAACGAACCGAAAAAAGTGCTACGTAATATTAGAGTGGTTTTTTTGTTTTGTTTTTTTTGTTAATGAACCGTGAATCAGTATGATTTATCTTGATCTCGACACCTGTGGTTTGAATGTTAAGTTTTAAAGATCTAAATTTTCAAAAAAAAAAAAAAAACTGATTCAGACGCGTTCTTCACCCAGTCATTGATTGTCGTAAAATTTGGCTTTTAACTTACCTGAAAGATGAATCTCCTTTACCTTATGTGAAGACTGAAGGAGACTTTGTTCAATGAGTACTTCTACTGTAAGGAGAACTGTGTAAACCTCTGGCAAAATTTTTTGAAAGATTTTTCTTCACAATCATTCGTGGTTGGAAAAACTTCTTAGGTTATCTTTGGTTGGTCGTGGCCTTTAATCATCTCAGTACTTGAATCGCCAAAATCCATTAAATAATTATAAACTTGAAGTAATTAAGAAATTTAGGAAACGTATCCAGAGTTGATCTTTTAAGACCTTGTATTTGAAACAGGATTAAAGGTATAAATGAAGGGTATGTGGAAGGCACCAGATGGCAGCGAGATGTATGCGCCAGTAAAAATTTGGACACAGTGGTTTTATACGCGTTTCTTACATCATACGGAACGTTCTGTTATGTTCCCCTTGGCAAACCGTGGAAATCTTTGCGGTAGTTAAATTGTTCAATCTGAAGATTTGCAATGTGTAACCCATTAAAAGTCGAAATGATATTTCAGGAATACCTTTTTTCCTGTGTTCGCGTAGTGATTCTGTGAGTTTTCTCTCACTAAGCGGCCAACTTAATCGAAACTTAACTGGCCATGCTACCTCTACAGTACTCCATCGTCTACTATTTAAGCTCAAACAGCTCAGAGCTTCCTTCCACTTAAAAGGATCGCAAATGAGCTTCCTTAACGGCACAGAGGACGGCAACAGGCTAACAGTTTCTGAAGAGATGAACAAGCTTGATTACAAGAAAACAAAAGAGGTTATGTTCGCGGGTATAAATATGTTTGGATCAACTCAGAGCCGCGTCAACCTACCCGCCCATCAAAATCTCCATTTTAACCTGCTCTGCGTGCTATAATGCCCGACAAATTGACAATAGTAAAACTGTTTCACTTTACCTTTTTTCAACCAAGTTGTGAATACGTCTGCCTCTCATGTTAAGAATTTAGGTCTGCAGAGATAAGGTTTCCCTTCAGAAAATATTGAGAAATAACGAAGATATGCAGAGATTCATAGGAGGAACTGAAGAAACGAGGGTATCAAAAGCGCGCGAAATTGTACCGTGTTCAACAAATCCGGGAACGTTGTATAGGTGACAAAATGATTTCGAGTGCAATTTAGTATAAACATACCTATGGTATAAATAAGCACGAGTAAATTTTTCAAAGACAAGAATATTTTTCCATGTATAAGTGCATTTTTTTCATGTATAATGTGACGTACATCATCTTTTCATGTAAAATATAAATTTTTTCGTGTTTTGTTAATCTGTAAAATGAATCGTTCTCACAACACGGGCGTTGTGCCCTGCATACAGAGCACTTTAACTTCTTGTTGTTCGAATAATAAGGCCTATTGTCGACCTCCTAAAAGAACGACGGTGAGCTGTGTCAGTGGGTAAATTTCGTGTTTCCCGAACTAGAGATTAAGGTTGAAACTCAAAGCGGCAAATATGAGTAAATTCGAGGTAGGTTTAAAACTTTGCAAGGTTTCAAGCAACTCCCTCCAAATTTGGTCCAATTAGCAATCAGCATGCAGTTAGGTGAGCAGATAGCAGTTATTTGGAGTCTTCCTGTCTTCAGTCAACTCCTTGCTCATTACCTCTCTACAGCCATTTACGCAGTTGGCGCAACGAGATGCCCTTCGTAACAAGCGGTGACTGCTTGATACAGTTGATCAGGGAGAGAGGACTGCTATGATGGACATCTTAAATGAAAGCTATTCCTGTCCAATTTCAATCGCGGCCGAAGATCACTGGGCAGAGAACAGACAAAAGTCAGGATAGCGCTTTTTCATTACATTCTTAGAGAATGATCCCATGAATTAGTATTATATTCAGAAATATATAATATTCCAAACAGCTGACCCATCTTTTTGACCTGGGAAATTATTGCAACCACTTCGCCACCAAAATAATGAAAAAAAAAAGAGATTTACAAAATGGTAAGACATTTGATTTCGTTCCAAAGTTAATTTGTACAGGATTTTCACTGTCTCTACATAACACTATTTCTATATTCATCAATTAGCAAAATATTTACAATGTCTGCATATTAAAAATACATTATTGATGCAATGATAGTCTAGAGGTATTCTAATTTTCAATGCAACTACCTATATCATTAGTAGGTAGAACTTAACTGCTTCAAAAAGACATAGCATGAATTAAAGTCATTTATCTTTTGAAAACGTCACTCCTTAAAGTGTCTGAGTTACAAAAAAAATATGTTTAGACCAAATAGTATTACATAAGTTCTTGGACCAGAAACCTTAAGAGAGTGAGCACAACATGATGGCACTTTAGAAGAGGTGTTAAGTAATCTGTCTAACTTACTATGCTTGTGAATACCATTCAAACTCTAATAACACATTTAAATAGTTCATTTCGTTGTCAAATATTATTACTACATAGAGTGACATCCATCAATCACAACTATGCATGACCTTTGAACTCAATCCATAAATGGTCAACAGTGACAGCATCATGGAATGCCAAGGGATTTCTATCTTCAGAGTTTGTCAGCTATAATCCCACAATGCAAGTGGTTTAAAGAGAATGAATAATGAAAAAAAATGTGTGGTCCTTACTGTTTTGTTCATCTGCAAGAGGGGAAATTTCACAGCTGACATTTCTGGATTATTAATTCAAACATACCTTAAGAAGTTGCACAATTCACTAATTTCCAATCTGAATTCACAATTTATAAAAGGAAATTGTTGCTATTTACACTAAAGGTATCAAATAATTTAAATCTTCAAAATTTTAAAAAAATTTTCCACTTTATGATGTGTAAAGTACACCAAAAAATGCAGGGATTACGTTCACAAACATCAATGTGCATTGGATGATTAATGTTCCTGGCACCTTTGCTCTTAGGGGAAACAAAAGCGATTTAAAATTTAAGATTGCAAATGGTTTATCAAATTATTTATCAGTTTAAATTT